ATATAATTAATTTTTTCACTTATTTATAATATTATATATATTAATAACAAATCAAATTTATTTAATTATAAATTTACAATTATATGTAATATTATAATAATACCATTACTGAGGAGGTCACTGGTGAATGATACAGAGCGGTGAATGATACAGAGCAGAGGGATGGAGGATTACTGCATCAAAAAAAAAAAAAATACTGCAACAAAAGAATACAGTTAATTTTAATGGGTAAAGCTCAGGGGTTATCAAGCTTTAAAAACGGGTAATAGCATAACATTGAAATTACAGAGATGGTGATAACAACATATGTCAAAAGGAAACCTCCAAATCAATTCTAAAGGGAACAAAGGTGAAAGGTCCCCCATTTGCTGCTGCTGCTACTGCTACTTTGTCTAACAATGTCGTTTCAAGGGGACCACGCGAGAGGAGGTAATATAACTTCATTGAAGGAACAAATTCGCCTTCGTAATTTGGATGAATGTATACCAGCTTAAGATGATGATGCAGTGGTCTTGCTGTTGCCGCTGCCTTCCTTGTGATCACCAAAGATGCGTTGCCTGAAGTCTGAAACCATTAGAGGGAGACCCTTTCGGAGGGAAATCTTGGGTTCCCAACCAAGAAGCTCTTTGGCTTTGGAGATATCAGGCTTCCTCTTGTGGGGATCATCTTCGGTGTTGGGTTTGAACTCTATCTTTGCATTTGGATCAATAACTTCCTGGACCACCTATAACCAGAAAGGAGAATGCTCAGTGGTCAGTGCTACACAACAAAGCAATTCATAAAAAGTCTGAACCTTTTGCAGGGTTTTTACAATTTAGTTGGAGGGAATTTGTCGTACTGAGTCTGACTCCACAAGGATAAGGGAGGGGATAAGAATGAAAAGTTCTAAACCAATTGCAGTGTCCCTTTTGATTTAACAGTTACAATCTTAATCAGCCAAAGCAGATTCTATAGATCAAATGAAACAAACAGCCTCCTCGGATCATTACAAAATTGCCAATAAAAATTACCATCTTTGTAATCACAAATGCATTTCTTAAGATGTTAAGAAACTTCCAATGGACGCGATACTAATCTTTCACTAAGTAAAAGTTGAAATTGAAATACTCTTAGTACGTTTCTGCTTTTGTAAATTCTATTCCTCTGTTGGATAATGGAAAACTAAGAAGTAGAATCTGCCAATAATGTAAATGCGTCTGTCCTATGGCTCCACTGACCATGTATTAGGATTCCCTTTTCCATTCGTTCCCACTTAATCATGTCTCAGACATGGTTAAATAGAGAAATGCTGATAATTACACCCTAATCCTTGTTCCAATATTTTGTAGAAATGAAATATGCTCTAACAGGAAAAGGTTAACAGCTGTAAGGCCTAAGTAATACTAATGGAGGTCATGCATAGCTTAGCAACATTGAAGCGATGTGCTTACCTCAGCAAGCTCAAGCATGGTAAATTCACCAGGATTTCCGAGGTTAAAAGGTCCAACATGCTCTCCTTCCATCAAACGAATGAGACCTTCCACCTGTTTCAAGACGCACAATTATTGCAATATAATTGTCGGCGGACCCCAAATATAGAGAACAAAAATTGGGGAAGAAGGATAAGTAGCAACCAACATTTTTAATGCATGAAAGGATAAGGAAAGTATTAAGAAAAAAGAAAAAAAACCAAAAACAGTCGACCAAGGTTTCTGATTGCCTCGATGCTCGCAGAATAAGTCAAGATCATAAACTAGTACAAATACATGAAACATTCAATACTCCATCCCAGAAAGTATCTGTTCATAGTTAATTCTGAACACCCAATTTGTTTGACAAAATCATACCCCCAGTCCCCAAATTATATACAAGTGCCTGATAATCACATTAAAAAAAAAAAAAAAGTTTTCCTGACTTGTGCTTTAAGAGCATAGAGTAATGGTATATTTTTGTCATAAATTTATATTGAAAAAGTAAAAATTGACCTTTAATTTATCAAGTGTCTAATTAAATTTATCTATTTGAACTAATATTAAAATTAATATTAACTTTTATATTTTTTTATATACACTTATGACAAAAAGGTGTCATTCACAAGTTAGAAAAACCCAAAAAAAAAAAAAAAATCTAAAGTGGCCCATAAAATATTATTGGAGAAGAAGGTGGATCCCATGTTCATCTGCATTGCTACTTTTCTGTCTTAACAGATTTTAGGAACTACAATCCTGTATGGCAAAAATCAAGAAGACAACAATAAACTTTGCTCATACCACACAAGAGTAGAAATTAAAAATAGATGGCCCATCGAGGACTCCTTCTGATATCAGTCACATGGTGTTTGTTTTTTCAATTGCTAGCTAGCACTTTACTTCCTTTTACCCCCAAAGAAAAATCTATTACCAGGCACCAGTTACAGCATTTACCATGAATTTAAAAATCCAAAATTTTCCATGTTACCGACTTATGGTTCAATCTCTGATTACCTTTTTACTAGCATTTTCAAATCTCACACGAATTAACTTCTAACATAACCTCTCAAAGACCAATCATTATATAGCAGTTGATGGGTAATTTTGGGTCAACATTAGACAACCCAGATTCTAAAATTTAAATGGGTAAAATAAAAAGGAAATCCCAAGTGAGAAAAGCAATAAGGAAACATGATGGTACCAAAAAAATATGTATTGACTGCATCAAAAGGCTGAAAAGTTATAAAGGTTCTGTTATAAAAAAATAAAATAAAAAAATTAAAGTGTATAACTTACCAGATCAGAAACATACTGGAAACTCCTTGTCTGCTTCCCATCACCATATACAGTCATTGGCTCCTTCCTTAGCGCCTGCATCACATCCACCAAATGTCATTATATA